GCTGCAGCACGTGCCATGGATTTACCACCACTGGCCTAGGGACATAGAGCTGAGAACCTGAAGTCTTACACTGCTCAGCTTTGTCGTAATCAGTGTCTCTGAACTCCTTTTCTTCCATAGCCCTAATGTTCTAGGAATCAAAACCCGGAGATGTAGATACAGTAGTGAGAATTAGAAAAGCAACACAATAAAATCTTGTTGTTTTTCTAACAAAAATTATGAAAGCAATGAGATTAGTCTCCACAAACCAAATTTTCCTACAGGACTCAAGATTTAGATCAGTCTTCTCAACCTCAACACCACTGACACTGGGGGATGGATCATTCTTGGCTGTAAAGGACTCTTGTGCACTGTGGGATGTTCAGCAGTATCCCTGGCCTCCACACGAGACGTCTCAGTAGCACCCTCCCTTCCTTTGCCGGAGTGTGACAACCAGAAATGCCTCCTGACCTTCCCTACCAAATGCTCCAGGCAGGGGATGCCAGTATCACACCAGAATAGGTAAAGCTGATGAGACACTTAGAAAAGCAGAACGACCACGGTACGTGGGTTCTTGGTCCCTGGCACCACAAACAAGCAAAAAGGCTGGGTATGGTAGCCGTACCCGTAATTCCAGCTACTTGGGAGGCTGAGGCAGAAGAATCACAAGTTCAAGGCCAGACTGAGAAACCTAGACCTTGTGTCAAGAATAAGGGTTGTGGGTGTAGCTCAGTGGCAGGCTACTGGCCTAGCATGTGCAAGGCCCCAAGTTCACTCCTCACTGCTAGAAGAGAAAAAAAGATTTGAGTAGTGTGAACAGAATAAAAGTTTCTATTTATTTATAATTTTCTTAGAAAGAGTCTCGCCGCATAGTAGAGGCTGGCCTCAAACTCTCAGTGATCCTGCCTCAGCCTCCCAAGTGCTGGGATTATAGGTATGTGCCACCATCACGCCCGCTGGAAAAGCTAAACTTCATTGCATGCTAACACAGGAAACTGCAACCATCCCCTTTTTTTTTTTTTGGATACAGGGTCTCACTATGTTGTTGAGACTGACCTGGAACTCACTATGTAGCCCAGCTGGTCTCGAACTCACAGCAATCCTCCTGCCTCAGCCTCCAG